GAAGAGAAAGAGAGAGAGAGAGAGATATGGAGTGCACATGTGACAGACCCTGTGTCTTTTTTCTAACCCCTTATACACTCTACGGGGCGAGAATTGCAATTGAAATTGTAAATATTTTCCTCCTCCAACAAAAAAGTTGAGATCAATTAGGAGGTGGTATGCTTTGACCGTGCCTGTCAGAGCCAACCCCGTCACAATAGGACACAAATTCCCAGCAGACAGGATACTAAAACACCCAATTAGGAAAATGAAAAGAGAAGAGATGAGATGAGACAAGAAAATTAAGGTAGAATCGAATAAAGATCAGATAAAACAAGAAAAGATAAACCAAACACCTCTCTACCTTTCTTACAGCCCACCAGAAGTATTGGCACATCTGGACAGAAGTGTCTGAGTTCGGGAACCCATTTAGCACTGACATTCGAAAGTGAAGTGGCGCTGTCAAACCCAAAACAAATGAAGAACACATCGGTCTGTGGGTAGGACAGGGGCCGCAATCTGTCATAATCCTCCTGAAAAAGTTGGGCAAAAATTATTGTTTACTGTTAGAACAACTGCACACAAGAATCCACAGATCCTAAAAAGCCCTAACTTTACCACCTGTGCTTATTGTATATTGAAGTAATTATTCATACTCAGTTTAGGGTTTCTTTTTTTTCAAATAGAGTTAATACGTGTAAAATTATAGAAACTTGTGACGGGCATGTTGGCTCAAATTTGGAAGACAAAACTAACAGAGTACAAATGTGGGAGGCCTATCCTATAGCCTTCTATATATGTGTCACGACGCAGTGGAATCAGGCGCTTGTCAATTTTTTGGCATATGAAGTTATCAGTTATTCGTATCATCTTAAGGATTGTTTATTTGCCATGCTTTCAATGAAAAAAAAAATTGTTAATATATATATCCATTTATCTTGAACAGAAGTAGAGATATTTGCAGACCATCAATAATTTATTTATAGAGGCACCAGCCATCCATGTCCAGGTGCTGTTTTAGATATTTGCAATTGAAGGAGGTGGGGTCACTTGGTTTCAGATGTAAAATTAGTGAGAAAATGGCCGTCAAAGTATTGTGACTTTCATAGCTTAAGAATCCTTGGAAACTGCAAATATACATTTTTTGTGCCCTTAGTCAATGTTTTTCCACAAAATCCACACATAAAACTGTTTTTGAATGGACATACAAGGTGTTGAGCCAAAGAAAAAAAATTAGAAAAAAATTCCAAACTGGCCGAAAAATGCAGATTTCTCGGAATTTATTATTTTGACGAGTGCCTGATTTCACCACGCTGCCTCACATAAAGGCCTACCTAATACCCAGTGCACACTGCCAGATTCGACTGAATTGAGTCAGGACCAGCCAGAAATCTCTAAATGGAGGGACTTTGGAACCATAAAATAAATTCGCCTTGCAACCTTAAAAAACAAATGCTTTTGATTTTTGAAAGTCACAACAGAATTTAAATTTAGTTGAATTCGGTTGAGTTTTGCCAAAATGGTAGCTATTGCCCATTCCATAAAGGAAAATCTGGCTGGCAGTGTGCAGTGGGTACAAGCTCCTACCTGACCAGCTGTGTCCCAAAGTCCGAGGGAAACCACCTTTCCATCCACCATAATGTTGGCACAGTAGTTGTCGAACACTGTGGGTACATACTCGCTGGGGAAAGAGTTGGTGGTGTAAGATATAAATAGACAGCTCTTTCCAACTCCACCGTCGCCTACCGTCAGAAGCTTCATCTGTACCGGTGTAGCCATGTTTGGTTGAAGTTACTGAAAGGAAAAGGAGACAGCGTGTTCATAACTGTTGTTGATATCTGTTCACTTTCGCACAAGTCATAATTATAGGCACTAAACAGGCTCCCTACAGGAATTATTTTTTTTAATAGAGAGGCATGTAACCAGGATTTTATCTCGCCTGCAATGTTGAGAGAAAGAGAGAGAAGGGAGAGTGAAAGGAAGAGAGACAAAAGAGAGGTGAGAGAAAGACACGGAGAGATGAGACAAAGAGAAAGAGAAAGGAGAGATAGGTAGACAGTAAAAGAAAGATGAGAGAGAGAAAGAGACACAGACAGACAGACAGACAGACAGACAGACAGACAGACAGACAGACAGACAGACAGAGAATATAAAGAAAGGTGGAACATTATAGTTAAGTGAAAAATTTAAAAGAGCTATAATCAGTAGTTTGGCTTTCTTTCCATTGCACCCATCAGTGTGTTACTACTAATTTATAGTTAACACTGTCCTATACAAATACATAAGATAACGAAATGCTTTAATCGATATGGGCAGTTATAATGAGGTCAGTAATAAACGATCTTACCTACACTATATTGTCAGAAGGACGATACAGTAACATCCTTCTGACCACAAATTTTAGTGAACATAGGTAAGATCATTTTAAAAATGGAGTGCTTGTTAGATATTAGAACCATGATATATTACAGGCAGAACAAAATATAGGCAGATCTGAAAAATTTAGGTCCGAACTCTGGACTTTCACTTTGGTCAAGTTTAACAAACTCATTGTCCAGAACAGAGACCTGGGATTTATTTCAATAACATTTATATTATGCAGGGTCACTTCTCATAGGCCATCAATATTACGCAGAAATGGAGATAGACATTTTATATCACTAGATTCTATATATCGCGACTTCAGTGCTTTCTTGTCGTATCTCCATTTTTTAAAAATAATACGTGACTTCTTCTTACGCTCATTCTTCGGTATGAACTGTTTTCGCTGTTATTAAATTAAAAACGGATATACCACAAGAAAGCACTGAGGTCGCGATATAGTCGAACCTTTGTAAGACGGAATCGCAAGAGAGCCAGAAAAACATTCCATAATAGACATTTTCCATCTTATTAATGGAATTTAGGGGGAGATGGAGGGGGTTTTCAGAAGCCCAGCCAGTGGCATCAAAGGCACTTGTTCCGTCAACAAGCAGAGATCAAAACTTCACACTTCTCACTCAAGGGCAGGACCTCCGTGGCGTAACGAGCGACCACCCCATCAAACCTAACCAAAACCCTAACCCAAACCCTACCCCTAGATTTACCCCTACCCCTAGCCCTCAATTCTGCTCTGTTTCATAGTGGTCACTCGTTAACGGAAGTCCTCCCCATGCAAGTGCTCTCTGATAATGACATGCGTCAATCCTACTTATTATCCATTATTGCCAACAGGTCCAGAGCTTGCATTAGAAGGCCTTCTCAGTCTGAAAAAGCTTCGATTTCAAAGGACAACAGTTTGAACATCTCCTTTGCTTCCACCCTTAGCCCCCACCCATCAGTGTAATAAGCACACTAAACCACCCCCCCCCCCCCCTTTCCAGTGCATTGTAAAGTTGCAGACAATAAACTGGGAAGCTTCCCATTATCACCAAGACTACAGTACAACACAAACCTTGCTTTGTGGATCATGATCAGGGCGAAATGTTGTCGGACGCTCAAAGAATAGCTAAAAATGACTCATCGTATTCAAGTCAAAGCACTGAGAAATAAGGCGTATGATTTGTATTCACAAAAATTGCAGCAAATTACCTGTTCTATGCAATGTGTGAGTGTCCAGTCAGTTTGCTGTTTCTTTGCAGTGTTATGAATTGATAATCATGCAACTATTCTGCCTAAATACTTGGACACATGTCAAAATTAGAACAGGCAAAAAGTTATATTTATCAGCCAATGACAGTACAGCTATTTTAAGAAAAGGGAATTCCTTACTAAGCGGCTCATTATAGTTGGCTTAAAAACTAGGACAAATCCGTTGTCGCGAAATTAATAATGTGTTTATTTGAAGAAGGAGGAGGAGAAGGAGAAGGAGAAGGAGGAGGAGAAGGAGAAGGAGAAGAAGAAGAAAAAAGAAGAAGAAGAAGAAGAAGAAGGAAGAAGAGGGAGAGGGAGAGAGAGAGAGGGAGAGGGAGAGGGAGAGAGAGA